ATATATATATATATATATATATATATATATATATATATAGTATATAATGTTTTTTTTTATGAGACAAAAGCAAAATGGCAAATACCGGTAGTGTAATATTACTGTGTAGGTGCCTCAGGAAAAATGAATATAAATGCAATTATTTTCCTTTTTACAATCATCCCCCGTTTTGTGTTGGGTTTTTGCATAAAATCTCAATGAAGACATTGAAGGTGGTGGTTTTCACATGATGAAATTTTGTGAGTGTCAAACGGGATGAGCACATTAGCAGGGTACTGTAAATGCCAACACCCAGTACGCAGGTAGTAGCTGCCCCCCACTTCCCATGAGTGGTCTGTAAATAATATTTTTGCTAAATCGCTTTTTCACTCACAGCTGTCACCATGTGACTGTAGCACCGTAGTGGAGGGAAGGGCCTGCAGGTGTGTATTAAGCAGCAAGGAAGAAATTAAACAAAGGAATCTGCGGGGTTCTTTGTTCAAAATTTTGTGATATTACTCTGCATTGATGCTCTGCCTGGGAACCAAAATAAGGCTGAAATGAAATGCGCATCACATTGCAGCTCATGACTCACTTTTGCATGCATAATTTATTGAATACTTATTGTTTTTTTGCTTGATGAATGTGAGTACACTTATGCCATCTCCTCTCTGAAGTGATGTCTCTCTTTTCATCACCACTGCCCTAAGCAGATAGCCATCTTAGCGTTTATATCAGACCCCTCTCCATGGAGATAATATTTCCTATTCACACCTCAGACTTCAGAATCTGTTAATTTTTTTTTCTGGTAGCATCTGGAGAGCTCTGAGGAGTTGCTGCTGTCTTTTTTTCTTCCTTTCCCAGATGGTTGGAGATAGCAGCTTTCAGCTGCCCCTGGTCTTTGTTTCTGTCAGTGACAGGCAGAGCAACGTTTTTTTTCCCATGCAAGATAAGGTTGTACTTACACACAAGCCCACGCAGAGTGAAAGGATAAAGTGCAAATTCCATGCTGTGGTTTGCATGTGCTCCTTCGTGTTTACAGCTGCGACCTTGAGAACAGGTGTGCATGTATGTGAGCGATTGCCTTTTTAGATCCATGGAACTGCAAGCAGGGCTGTGTGATTCATTTATGATGTATGTTACCCATTGTGTGTATCAGTGCATTTAATTCTGTCTGAGAGTGAGAGAAACACATTAAGTAGTAAATAAGATTTTTCATGGCTGCCCCACAAGCTTTGTGTCATGGGACCACCAGTAATGGCTTTGGCTACAGCTCTTCCTCTGTGCTCCTGCCACCTGTAATCTACAATGAGCAAAAAATTGTTACCTTTGAGGATACTAACTTCCCTGGACACGCAAACACAAATACTTACCAGTTGACTTATTCTTGTTCTTTACTTTAGTTTCTTTGTACCCTCTTACAAACATTTTTCAGCATACCTTATAGGCAACCGGTGAAATCACAGGCAAGTTGCAGACAGTAGTGAAATAACTACAGAGACAGAATGATATTTCACAACCCCAATAATTGGATATGTCTCTATCTCCTAATTACTAGCTAAATCATCCACTCTGCTGTGCATTGCAAATAAAATTGTCAAACATACAAACACACTTACTCACTCACTCACACACACCCCTTCAGTAATTCATTGATTTACATCTAAATGGATTTATACCTGAACACGTCTCTCTTTCTCACATGTGACTTATAAACACACCAAAATGCAACCTGATGCCCGTGCACATAGTCACACATATCCAAAATCAGTCTAAGTAAGCTATAATATTGGGGTAATTAGAAAACTAGGCATAATTATTTATCTCTAACAGATATTATTGGAAGAATGCTTCCAGGTCGGGTAAGATGAGAATTAAACTATTACTCTACATGCAAATTGCTCTTTTTGCTTTTGTTTTTTTTAGTAACCCTGAGTAGACCCTAACATCTGTAAAAGTTAGTAGTGACAGCACACTGCTTTCGGGATGGTTGCTTTTTTGCAGGAAAAGGGAAGTTGATCAGAGATGTTGTGATGCAAGATGGATACTGGAAAATAAACACTGCTTGAGGCCATAAAACAATCCTTATCATAGACTAATGTTGTTTAATGCATATCCATGGCCTAATCCAAATAAAGACATAAATCCAATTTAGCATAAGTTAGAAATGTCTTATCAGACACTTACATGTAATCTAAGTGTATTGAAATAACTCTGCTTAGAAAGATGTATAAACATTTCAGTCTGCAGCTGTAAAGAACTTTTTTATAAGTTTGACACCAAACATTGATATTCCTCCCACTACACAATTAGGGATTACTACATTGTGTAGGTTTCTCAATTAAAATCTCAATATTAAAACTGATTTGAGGTTGGAAAAAAAACAAAAGGTAAGACATAATCATGAACAAAACAGTGAAAAGGCACTTAAGGTGTGTATTTTTGATAATTCAGCACAGTGTATAGTCATAACCCCCTAAGGATTTGGTGTTAAATAGAAAACTGAAGGTAGATTCTCTGCTCTTTGTGTGTACTTGTTTTGTGTTCCAATGCCTTGTATGGTGGTAAATGTGTAATGCAAATCTCTTACAGCTGCATAATCTCATTGCTGTAAAAAAATGTTATATATGAGTGGTAGTTTAGGTTATTATCAGCAATAAGACCCATCTTCTTTCAGGTTTCTTCAACAGAAGCCCCAAAAGTAACATGAAATTCCACAGTAAGCTCTTTTTGTTATATTCTATTGATCCCAGTGGGGGGGAAAAAAAAAAATCTCCTGCTTGTATCTTTTGCACGGAGGTCAAAGAGCCGGGTCACCTGCAGAGCAGTTAGGCAGAAATATTACTTCACTTGGCCACAGTGATTTCAGAGCTGTTGGAGACGATTGCTCAGTGTATGGAGCAGCTCTGTGATCTATTTGGTGAAGATCCAAACATAACAGTCAGCAGAACAGCCTGGCTTCATGCCTACAAAACAATAAAGCGGCATCAAATATTGCTCTGTGTTTTTCCTTTGTGGCACACACTATTACAGTATGTAAATACTAGAGGAGCAGTGCTACATTTTGGATGATAGTTGCCGTAAATAATTTTTTGCCCTTTGGATCTACATGTTAGAATGTGGGATGGAATTTTAATGAGCTGAATATTTTTTACTCTGATTAAAAACAACATTTAACCGATACCATAGGGAATTTATGCCACACGAAGAGCATTAGATACAAAATGCCTCCATATCATTTATGACTATCATTATAGAAGGTTTGGTAATGATAACCTTTACATCAGCAGAATTCTACTCCAGTCCCCATAGGCCAGTTTTCTCCATGTTTAAAACACATTTTTGCTCCAATACTGATTCATATATTGTTTGTATAACCTCTTTTGCCCATCATCAGGTGATGCAGAGTCAAAAGCTCATTGATCCACTTGAGTCAGGTGTGACCTGAGAAAAATCTAAAGGGTGCAAGACACTGTTAGGATTATTTTTAAGATTCATGTTTGGTAAACCCTAATATTTGCCAGTGATGTGCCGTATGTTTTCCCAATCAGTTTATCTTATTAGGACAAGATTTAGAAATGTAATGAGAATATATATACAGAATGGATTATTCTTAACAGATAGTCTGTCACTGTGCATTTGGGTTGTCCTTGATCTAAGAAAACTCTGTAATATTTTGATATGGCTGGAGCAAGTAAAGTCTCCTGAAGTACAAGCATGTATTATGTGATGATGTGGCAGGCTGTGTGCATAAAATGCTTCTTTAAT